GGGTCACATCACTTCCATCCCGGTTGCCTGAAGGCCTCATTTCCTCTGGTCACTGAGGCTTTGGGTTCTTCCATGCCAGGCTTGCTCTCTTGCTGTGGGCAAACACATCCAGACAGCTCCCAAGTCCCACCTCTGCCTACTGCTTGATAGAGCACTTTGAGTTTCCTTTAAGGATTCCTTCCCTTGAACATCTCCACAGCTTTCCTTTGATCCCCCAGGCACAGTGAGTTTTTGCTTGTTCAATGATGCCTGAGGCATGGCTTTGAGTGTAGGAAAGAGAAGGAGATAAAGGTTTCCCCTAGCTCCTGGGAGGCTACCCCAGCAGGAAGTTATTTCAGGATATATTCTGCAGACAGAGACTTGTCTCTGCTGCCTGCAAGGCTGGATAGAGCCACAGCACAGCTTGCTCTTCCCTGCTCACTGCCCATGCACTGGATGGGGCTCCAGCCTCAGCAAATGCTCAGGGAGCAGGAGGGCAGTCCAGGGCAGCACTGCCAGGGCCCAGAGGAACATGTCACAGCCATGCCTGGGGCTGCCAGCCTCAGCTGCACTGAAGGATAGGAACAGGCCAGCACCTGAGCTGGGCCCTTTCCACTGGTCTTTCTTCTCTCATTCCAACAGAGCAGCGATGAGGGGGCTCCTCCCAGCAAGGATGCACAGTTGCACCTCATTGAGTGACCATGAATACCCACCTTCATGCACTTCCCCTCCTTTATAAAAGGGCTGGCATTCCACTCCACCTCTCAGCTGACTGACAGGGTGGGGAGATGCTGGGGAAGGTCTTGCAGCTGCACATCCTTATCCTGTGGTGTTTGCCCCTCAGTTTCAGCGTACAGTGAGGCTGCAAGGCTGCATCCAGCTCTGCTCACAGCCTACAGCACAGCAAGTGGGGCACCTGAACTTCCAGACACCCTGTGCAGCCAGCCCTACCATTGTGGCCTACACTTTGCCCTTTTCCAGTGTTCCCTGGGACTGATACATCAATCCTAAGCATTAGATTGCCTTTTCCTGCTAGATAACCTCCTCCCTCTGACTCTCTCCTTCCAGCCTCCTTTGCTTGGTTCCCAAATTCTTCAGGCTGTTATTTCATTCACCTTTGGCTATATGAGATCACTGTCCATCCACCTGCCCTAATTTTTCTTTGTAGACTTCTGGTTTTGCCCGCCCAGACCTTCACAGAGATGGGAACCTTGTTCTCCCTTCCTTCCAATTTCTGCTCCAGGTGAAGCTGGCTGTACATGTCCTCATTACCTGTCTCATCCCAGTCTTCCTTCCATTGCTCCTGCTTTTTTTACCACTCTCTTCCCTTCTGTGGTTGTTTCTCAGGTCTGGCACTAGCAAGGGAATGCCAGTTCACTGCTCTGTAAAGCTGCACAACCAGATGAGGGGCTTTCGGAGCCATAGGCAGATCAAACAGCAGGGGCAGGATGTCGAGGACGGATAAAAAGGGCTAAATATAGAGAAGGTGCAGCTCAGGACTGTGTCCGAACCTTTAAATCCCTCTGAGGGAACACTCTAAATGAAGATGGGAATTGTTCTCAGCCTCAGAAGGACAAGGAGCCACAGATGAGCGATAATAATAGCTCCATCTTTGCCTGTCGCCTCCATCCGTCACATCCCAGTGCAATTTGTGGAGAGTGAGTTACCCGATCCCCAGCGTAGTGCAGCTGCCTCCCAGGAGGACCAGGGCAGGTGTGCAAAAGAGCAGCTCATTATGATCATGTAAATTTAGGGCAGGAAATGGAAGGAACGAAATGGGGGAAGAACAGAGGAAAGGGAAACGGAGTTTGGCCAAGGCATGTTCCTGCCTTCACCAGCAGGACCTTAGGGATACACATTTCTTGTGGATCTAAGGATCAGCTCACAGTTCCTCATGGTGGTTGCCCATGCTAGTTTTAATGGGAAAGGCTTCTAAATGCTGCACACTTGGTGCTTTCTGGAAGTAAGGGCTCTTCCATGTGAATGCTAAGCAATAAAGGAAACCAAGTCCTAAGGTACCCTTGAAACAATTCATCACTCTCAGCAGAGCTACTGACAGGAGGACCTTGGCACCAGTTGGCACCAGTTCTGGAGTTTTGCCTCCTGCAAGCACCCCTGAGGAGCAAGCATGGCACAGCCAAACAGAGCCTGGGCTTGGTCGGTTCATGCCAGCCCTGTTCTGATCTCTGCCTTAGCTATGCCCATCCAGTTCACAGCTCTTGGCTTTTGAAATCACATTCCACTTCTGCTCTCCAACATGACAGTTCTTTCCCCTCCTGCATTTTCTAACAAATTTCTTGCTGCAGCACTCCTGTCTGTGGGAAACCAAACCCACCCTGAGTCCTTCAGTGTCTGCTCATAGCAGATCAAATGCCTGTGCTGTGGTGCAAGACGGAGGGGATCTGGAATCATCCATCTTCTGCCTTTTGCTGCCACACCCCGACTTTTCAGAGCAGTGGCCATAACCCTTGCACGATGCCATGGAGGTGGCCCAGCTTGCTCCCTGGGGGCTGTCCCTGCAAGTCACCTGCATCACTCCCTGGCGGGGATAAGGGTGCAAGTATTGGGTGGGAAAAACAGGCAAAATGAGCCCTCTTATTATCTGTTCCTGGGTAGCTTCCCCCACACTGCAGGAGTGGTTGCTCTGTGAAATGTTGGGAGGGCTGTGAATGGGAAAGGTGCAAGAAGGACTCAGTTTGAATAGGCAGTGTCCCTGGGTCTCTGTGTAATCCCTGACTAGCTTCGCAGGCTCGCCCTGGTGACCCTGGGCTCCTTGCAGAGCCGGATACAGAGATGATCTCTCTCTCCTGTGATGGAGATCAAAGGTCAGGGTAAAATTACCCTGCTCTGCTCCTTGCTTTCTGAGGGCTCCTTGTCCACCCAGAACAGCAGCCAGCTGCAAAGAGGTGCGCACAGGGCACACTGGGGGTGCAGAGCTGCGTACAGGCAGTGACTGCCAGATCATTCAGGAAAGGCGTTACCCTCCCGTTCCACTGGGAACTGGGGAGATTTACCTGCCAAATGGAGAACAAGCAACCCCATCCCAGTGCAAAGCCTCCTCATCACTGTATAGACACCTCAATGCTAACCCCAACCCCTTTCCATGATCTTACTCTCCCTCATCCTTTGATGGGATGAGCCCTTGCTCAAAGGCTCCCCACAGAATCACTCCAAGAAACTCAGGGTCCCAAACGCCAGATTCACCAAGGTGACCTCAGGCACCGCAAGGCGGCAAGCTTACCGGGATCTGTAGAGTAAGGAGGCTTGCAGTCCCCTCTGGATGGGACCCTCAGCCTGCGTCCCTTGCTGAGAACGGCTCCTCGCTGCCCAGAAGCCCCTCGTACCTCTGCAGCCTCCAGTCAGTCCCGTTGGTCCACCCAGCGAGTCCCTCGCTCCCTCTCTGCTCCTCAGCCTCTCCCAGGACTGATCTCCCCATGGGGAGCAGGAAGGCTGTGGACGGGAGGGGTTGGGGGAGGGCTGATTCCAGGAGCAGCGTCAGGCAAATTAAATCAGACACCAGAGACTTGGGGAAATCGGATTGGGACGTAATGCAAAGCAGGTGGATGGGGAGGGGTGAAAAGAGAGAGTAGCACACTGCTCCTGAAGGGAAAGAAACAATCCCAGGCGGATTTGACTCCCTCTGTTTATATCAGCAACAAACTAATAAAGTGAAGATTAGCCAGAACAGCCTAGGATTATCAGCCACCAGGGCAGGGCTTGCTGTACCTCACAGTCACAGGAACTCCTGTTTTCCCAGGGACAGCATGCCACTTGTGTCCTGGGCAGGGTGGAAAGAGGGATGATGCCACCAAGAGAGGGCCTGCAAAGGGAAAACCAATGGCAGGGCCACCGTACCCTCTCTCGGCCGCAAACGGGGCTCTGGATGGCAAAAACAGAAGTGGGCACAGGGGCCAGGGGTGGCAAAAGATTTGGTGGCATGCCTTTTGGCAGCCACTTTAGTGGGATGCTGCGAGGGGATTATCTTGGCCTCAATCTCTTTTAATCTCCCCCGCGGCTTTGGCCCAAGCCCGAGATAAATACCTTTTAACGGATCTCATCTGACGTCAGGAGGCCATCAGTCTAATCACCCAGGCCACCTTTGGGCAGAGCAAGCCAGAGATGTGGACACTGGCCCCTCACCCCCCAACATGTCCTCATCAAAGAGGAACCACCCAGCACCCCTCACAGATCATCGGGACAGACGTGTGGGCGCTGGGATGTGACAGGCCCCTCGCCGGAGACAGGGAATTTGAAACGCACACCATCAAACTCTTCCCTGTGAGCCTGGGGTGGATGGGAAGCAAAAAGGGTTGCCACCACAGGTTTCCCAAGTCTACGTGTTAAGAAGTGCCAGGATTCAGATTGAGGGAGGACTTCCCTTTCCATGGAGCAGGGGCCCTGTGCCAACAGTGCCAAGGGGATCACCCACCCACCCACCTCTTACACCACTGGCCCTGGCTCTACAGATTCCTTCCACTTGGACTGCACTTGGGGTCTCCATGCACAACTCATCAAGGCTTGAGTATGTCATGACCACAGATTGATCTCTTGCTCTAATGCTTCCCAGGAAAAGGGTCACTGCTCTTTTAGATACTCCATATCCACCCCATTCAATTCCTATTTGGCTACAATATAATCCCATCTCGGGACACTAATCCCCTGGGCAGTGACAGCAGATTGTCTTTCTATCAGGGCGGAAAATGATAAACAAAATCTCTCTTCTGCTTTCAGGGACAATTTAGTGCATGGAGAGGGGGAAAAAAAATGAAAACAAAACAAGAGAGGTCTTGCTACAGGGAAACGTGAGTGTATGGTGCATTCTCTTAAAGGAACTCCTCACCCTTTCCATGTTAGCCACGTCACAGCTGACTTTCTCTCTTGCTCTCCCTTACTGAAAGTAGCTGACATCTGGGCGAATACTCTGTTATCTTTCACTGAGGGCTCAATCCCCTCCCATCATTTGTTAATTAAATTTCTATCAGAAACAAGTGTGCACCTCTTGCTGGTATACAGACTCAAGCTCTCATCAACATCTGTGTCCAGCATTTGGCTTTTATTTCATATATTCACAGTCTCTCACCTTCCCTGTCTCAGGTCACTTTGCGAGGTTCTGGAGCTTGCAGGCGCTTAGGAAATTCAAAGGCTTTAGTTATGAGTTCTTGAATGTGAGATAGCCCTTGCCAAAAGATTCCAGGCTCCTCCTTCCCCTCTCAGATTTAGCCCTGGATGGCCAAGAAGTTGGCACTGAGAGGAGCAGGGTGAGAAAACCTTGTCTTCTTGCTTCTGAGTGAGACAAACACGGTGAGGCAGTGAAGAAAGCTCCTGGTGTCACTGACTTCCACACTGTGCTCTTCTCCCGTTTTTCAGCTGCTGGGACACCACAGAGAAGAAAGCTGCACCCCTCCCCATCACTACAGCTCTACCACACTAATACACTGCTCCAGGCCTCCGTGGTCCCGGTCCTCCCGTGACCTGCCAGGCCATGGTGTGTGACAGTCCACAGGGCCCCGGGCACTCAGAACTCATCTCTGGCCCGTAGCACCTTGGGGTGCTGCTTCCTGTCCAAGCCAGGCTTCTGTCTCTGATCTGCAGGCTTGGTTGTGCGGCTGGGAGCATGAGACTCTGAGGAGGATCTGCTGCTGCCATCAGTTCCCTGATGTTTATCTCCATCGGGCTGGTCCTTCTCCGCAGCCCTCTGCTCCATCAGCTCCTCTGCCTTCACCCGTTCCTGCAGCCATGGGGACAGAAATGATGTGAATCCTCCCTGCTGGGGTCTCGGCAAAACACATCCCCCCAACCGCTCCAGAGCCCAATCCCCCTTTGCAGGACCCATCACAGGCTGGCCCCTCCACCAGACACCTTGTCAGAGGGCAACCCCCAGCTGCTGCACTAGGCCCTGCCCCAAGGGAAAGCCCAAAAGCTGCTCCTCGGTGGGATTATATCTCACTGGGAGGTACTTGTATTTACGTGCCCTTCACCTGCTCAGCGTGCTCCTGGGAGTGCGTGTACCAGAGGGCAATGGCGCAGCGCCGTCCGCGGCTCACGGCCCACACGCCATGGGGGTTCTCCTTGCCAGAGCTGAAGGCTACCAGCCTCCCACACTTGGGATGCACCTCGGCCTGCCAGGGGAGAGACAAGAGACTGTGAAACCAGCAGACCCCTGCTCTGGAGTACACAGTCCTTCTACAGAAGTGACACTGCCTCTGGGAACGTGGAAGAGCAGAGCTGCTAGGCATCTACAGCCAGTCAGTGAGCAAGGCAGGCCTTGGAGAGGGACAGAGAGAATCAGTGGGACAACAAAGGTCACAGACACCCACAGACTGGAAGAGTCTGGAAAATTTCAGGCAGGAAAGAGACAAACTCTCCCCGTCTGAGATTTGCCTCAATTTGCCTTTAGCTGCCCCTATTTGAATCTGCCACTGCACCAGCACTGGATTTGTTTTGGAGTGGTGGGATCCAATAACCAACCTATTTCCTCCTGCCAAGACTAAGTCTCACCCTCAGTCCTCTCTCCCTCTTTTGGCCAGTCCCAGACTTACTGTGACAGTCACAGTGTCCATTTCAGTGAAGAAAAGGCCCCCACCTTGGAAGTCATCATTGAGGTAGAGAATGCCACTGTGGACAAAAAAAAAAAGAATACATATGGACGGTGAAGCGTATTCCTCCCAGGGGCTTCCCCACATTCCTTGTCACAAGCTCAAAAGCAAGCAGACCAGTTAGCAGGAGAATCCATCTGAGGGTGTTAAGTACAGCAGTGCCTAGCCCAGGGGAGTCCCTGAGCTGCAAGCCACAGGAGGCTGGGAGAGTATGCCAGGGAATTAGCTCTACACACTTGTCCCGTTTTATTTTGGTTTGTTCTTAATCCCCTGCAGCATGCATCCATGGCACTGCTGTGACAATGCCCTGGGCTTGAAAGACCTTGTTTCTAACCCGTTGTTTATGTTTCAAGGTTGGGAATAATCCAGCTCCTGGAAGAGGAAACTGATCAGCAAAGAAAACCATGTCTTAACAGCCAAGGGATTTCAGGGTAACATTAGAATTAGAATGATGAAGAGGAGGCCTGGTGAGTATAGAAAAGAAAATTAGACCAAGAAACTTCTTTACTAAAGTTATACAAAAAGAGAAGCAGTGAGGCCACTGTACAGCCCAGGTGAGACCACAGTCAAGTAGGTGAAAGAATGGACCCCAAACTACCTGGGTTCCTCCTGGTATTCAATTAAACTGATAGAAAACATCAGAGGAACAACAGAGGCTCTTAATTAACGGGACTGAGAGGAAGAAATACAAATCAATAGCGTGGTTGCTGAAGCAATGTTGAGGACATAAGGGCAGTGAGAGGATTAGTAGCCCTGAAACACAGGAGGTTATAGCTCTTCTGCCACAGGGTTTTAATAAGGCTGTGAAGCCAGGGTGGTGACACGAGCGGAGAAAAGCAAGGACAGCTCTCACACATCCAAAGGGACAGGAAGGTAGGGATAATGGTTGAAGCATAAAGTGTTATCCTGACCTCAATAGTCTGCTTTAGACTCCACTTCTGAGAAGGGTAATTGGAGGACAAGAAGTAAATGGAAAATGGTCTTAAAATGTAACAAGAGGGTACTAAAAGTAGATTGGGCTACCCACACAGTGTTTGAAAAAATGGTGGATTTTCCAGGGAAACACTACGTGCTCAATCTCAGCAGTTTGGACTCTGGTAAAAGGACTCAGAATGGTGCCACGAGGGGAATTTCTAACAAAAAGAGAAGGTGAAGGTGAGCATGAACAGCACACAGGGATCAGTGTACCGCTTGCACCCAAAGGAGCACTGTGCACCCAGAGCAGCATCACTGGAACTCGTGGGCCCCTGGGTCAATATTATCATTAATGACCATAGCACAGATCCACAGAAAATACCCAGGAAGTTTGGAACACAGGGACTTCATTCAAAAGGACACTGTAAGAGCTCAGCCCTTGAGCTGGTTGGGCAGTCACAGCTTGAGCTCCAAGAGGACAGGGATACTCCGAAAAATAGCTCAGTGGCATAGATTCTGGGAAGCTATTTTACCATCCATTCAAGTGGAACTCAGGGAACCCAGTGAGCAGTGAAGGGACAGGATGGTTTGTTCACAGGAGGGACAGAGATCTAACTAGCTACACAACAAAGTCTGGTAACTCTACAATCTGGTTATCCCAAGTAAACACTAGTATCCAAAGGGAAACAACGATAATGGAATTCCCTTATATCCTCATCATAGCTGCTTAGGGATTTCTGCTCTGGATACAGTTACCATTCAAAGAAAAGACAAGTAAAATTTCTGGATGCTCAGGGATGAGATGGCAAGTAGGAGGAATGAGCTGTAGTGAACTGACCTCATCTGGCTGCAGTGTGCAACAACTGGCATCATCATTAAACTATATTTCAGATTCCTTCACAGAGGAGTAACAAAACCTGCCACAGGCTGGAAAAAACATAAACTCTCACGTGGAATGGGAAAATCCAACACAAAGTATTTGCAGTGAATCTTGAGAGAATAGTCACTGAAGTACACTGCTCAAACAAAAGGAATCCAAGGAGCTTGACTATCCTTTTCCTGTAATTCACGGAGTTCTGTAGAAGATGGAACTCAACTACGAGAAACAGACTGTCAAAAGGGCTGTAGTACTGCGACACACCCACAGGATAGCAGTTTGATATCATGGTTCTAATCTGTGCAGCCTTCCAGCCTCGTTCTGCTCCCCATTAAAGCTGGCTGTGCGAAGCAAGGAGGGAAAAGGGCAGGTCTTCTCACCCTAGGGAAGGTGTTTCACACCTCCTTCTGAAACTGCTGATGCAGCCTTCTGCCTGATGCTACAGCCCTGGATGGCTTTGAGCCAACCATCACCTGGTTTCTATAAGCTAAGCTCATCCTCTGATGGGGCCAGGGATATCTTCACATGATCTAATGCAGTTGCTCTTACCTGTAGTCCCTGTACACATAGGCAGGAGGCTCTTTCCAGCACTCTTGCCCCTCAGGATCCAAGAGACAATTATCAGCATGGACAGGATGGCTGAGATCCATGCGACCTTCCTGTTCCCCTGAAAATATAACAAGAGGAATACGTGCATTTTCAGTTTCAAGAAAGAATAAAGCAGAGAGAAAGGGATACAGTGGGAATAAAGGGAGAATAGTCTCCTGAGAGCACATGGCTGGGAGTAAGCAGACTCTCTGGGAGACAGGGACTAACAGGATGAAAGGTTCTTTACCGTCTATAGCTGTGCGACACACAAGGTGTGTGAATGAAAAATGGAGTTTCTTTCCAGAAGTAAAATAGGACTCTATGATTTTCCGAGATTTCTCACTAGCCTGCAGAAGCAATTTGGCGTCTCTCCATTCCACGTCCCCACTTTGGGCCAGCTACAAGTGAAAAACAAGTCTGTTACAATACTTACAAAGGCACTCCAATAAATGATACACGTACACAGCACAGAAGAAGAGACCATTGTGAAGTCCTGTGGTCAATCAGGCAAGAAAAGAACACATTTTCTCATTTAAATACATCTCAGGAGTACAACTGCACAGCACAGCAATTATTTCCTTCTCCTTGGCCCATGAAGCCACACCTGGAAAGCTGCATCATTTTGGTTCTCCCACTACACAAGAGATACTAGGAGACTGAAGTGAGTCTTGAATGAAGAGTCTGAAGTCTGAAGTCTGTTGGAACACATGACTTAGAAAAACTGAGGCCAAAAGATTTGGCTTTCTTCAGTCTAGAGAAGAGAAGGCCAAAGGAACATCTAAGCACAGACTCCTGTCACCTAAAAGGGGTGACAGAGGAGATGGAGACACTGTCTCCTCAGAGAGACACACTGATAAGAGGCAGCACACAAAAGCTGCAGCTAGGGAAGTTTTGGCTAGATATGAAGAAATATTTCACCCTCACAAGACTGGTACAGCACCAAAAAAGGTGCCCAGAGAGGCTGGAGAATCTCCACCCTTGGAAATGTTCAAAACTTGCCTATGCAAAGAATTGAGGGATTTCATCTATCTTTGGAATTAGACGTGCTGCAAGCTGGAGGTCAGCTTAGAGATCTCAAGAGGCTCCTTTTACCTTAATTTATTCTCCACCTCTAAACTAAGCATGTCTGTAAGGCTACCTCACAGGGACAAGCAGTCCCAAAACCCTGCCTCACAGAAGAGAAAGCACTAGTCAAGCCCTCCATGTACAACATCCCTGAATGTGACTGAGGAGGAAGGAGGACAGAGGAGACCACAAGTGTTGTGGGGGAGACAGTGCACCCATGACACCACCCAGGGTGCAACTCACAGAAAAAAACACTCAGGTGGCAAACTCTCTTTCTGGACAATTAAGAAGGCAGCAGGCTCACAGATGCATTTTACCTGCACAGCCTTCAAAACAGTTAACCCTTCGAATCTCTCATGTGGGGTGTGAGGCGACCGTCTTGCCCGGTATCCATCTCCTGCTTCCCCTGCTGCCTGGAATACAAGGATACAGATGAAGGTGACACGCATTAGGGTGCCACCTCTCCTTCATGGAAACCTTACTGCTCTGCCTGCTGAGGAGGAAGGCACACACACAGTTCTTACAGGATCCTGGCCTCACCTTTGTCAGTCGGAGAAGGTCCTTACACTCAGACTCTGTCAGCACTCTGTCGAACACAACCCTCTGGGTTCCATTCATCTGCTGGGAATCCATCGTGACAACAATACCCTCAAAAGGCAGAGGACCTGTTGAGAAGCAAGCACAGACAGGCATGAGCAAGCTTTGGACAAGAATCCCTCAGACACCCAACCCCCAGCCTGCATAAGGAAGTGGAGAGACACTATACATTCTCTGAGAAGACAGGACAGTTCCCCAGAAGTGCCCGCTCCTCACAGACCCCTCGCATGCTTCAGGGGAACCAGAGCACCAGCTGGGGAAGCTGGCCTACAGTGTGTGCTTCAGGAGCCAGCAGAGACTTGAGACTTGCTGGGAGAGCAGCAGGGAGCGGGGGAAGTTGAGTGCACTGTGGATTGCAGCAGCAGAACAGGTCCAGCCTACCGGAGTGAGGCTCTGGAGAAAAGAAGCAGGTAAACATCTCCATCAACCCTCCTTTCAATCATCTTTCATCAACACCTTATCCCAGAATTATCTCTGGTGAACCCTTCTGCTTTTTTCATCCCCAAAGAGAAGCACTGGATATTAGCTGATGATTTAGCTTTTTGATCTTCAGCCTTTTTTCCCCACCCCCTGTGACCTCTGGATGATGAGGAATGCCAAGGCACCCAGCCCCTTAGAAGGCTCTGCTCTCACATGTGCCACAGCAGAGAACCACTTGGGGTCATTTTAAGCAAAGACTCCACAACAGAACCTTTTAAGAGGCTCTGTATCCACACATAAGAATAGAGCACCAGCAAAAACATGAGACTCTGCACTCTGCAGTCTGTATCATTCAGCCACAAACCCTTTGGACTTCTGTTTTTCAGGGAAAAACTTTCCCAAGCTACATTGTCTGCTTCCAGTTCCCATTTCCCGGTCCCTCCCTTCATGTCCCTTTCAGAAAAATGTTGACTGAAGTTGGGCTGGTGGAGCTGAACCAGGTTGGGTGTAGAGGCTCCTGGCACACTGAACAGGGATCTGCACGTCCACAGGCTTGTCACACATTCAGGCTGTTCTCAGCTTCTCCAGCCACAGAGCCCTTTGAGTTCGCGTGCCAGAGATGTACCCACTGAGATTTTGCAAGGTTACACATGCATCAAAGAGGAAGAAAAGAACAGTGAGAAGACTTGCTGAGCCATTCAAGTCAGTCTACATCTATGCTAGCATTCAAATATCTGAGGATGGAAGACAGCACTTAGCCTGAGTAAGCCTGGCTGCATGCATCCATGACCTCCTTCAAGCTCTTTTACTCACCCCTCTTCTCCCTCTCTTCCCCATCCAGAGTTTCGTGCTTTTGCTTCTCCTGATCCTCTCTCAGGAGCAAGGGAAAAAACAGAGACCAGGGCTGTCAGTACACAGAACTATGCCCAACCCTCCTCTGTAGCTGCATTTCACATTCCAGATCCTTTTGTGCCCATTTCTCTACATATTACTGTTCTTTGTACCACCCCTACTTATACTGCAGTCCTAGCTGACGTGCCCAATCTTACCTGTATTTCTCCTTTAAGTTTTCAGGAATCAGCTCATCTGGAGTCCAAAGATCCTGTAGGAAACAAACACAGGTGGTTCAGTACACAACAAACCTTGCACTGCTTCTCCAGTGAGTATCAGACCAACCACTGTGGCCCACTTCTCAGGACAGACAAACCGAGCCAATGCATAAGGTTACAGCAGTAACTTCAAATTAACTTCAGTCCTGGAGCAGCAGAAAGGCCTTAAAGATCCACCTCATAGGGACCTGGGGGTCCTTCTCATCAGCATCTGATCCTTTCTGGATCATGGCCTACTATGGTGAATTCTGACAACTGCGACTGTGAACAAATGGTGAAACCATGGCAGGAAGATTAAGATGATACTGTTACTTACAGGGTCATTAAAAGTTTCTCCCAGATGCTCCACTGCATAATAAATTAACTTCTTCTCCATCAAAGATCTCTGCACATAATGCTGAATACTCTACGGAAGCAAAGAGACTGTAAAACAACCACCTCACAGAAGACAAGCCCACCCCTTTTCCAGGGCAGAAACTTGCCCCACCACACTTCTGTGCACAATTAAAGCCTATTTTTGTCCTGAAAGGACACTGACTGTGACAGACTAGAAGTAAACTCCAGTTTCTTCAGTCATGGCTTTGGCACATGTCTGCAGTGAAGCACCTTTCCCTTTTTGTCTCTTGGACTGTGATCCTGTCTTGTGGGACAGGGGAGGACCAAAAAGGACAGAGCTTGTAACTACCTGTCTGGCTGTGACAGCTGCATCCTCTCCCAGTTCTGAGCGATACTGTTTCATTTTCTCCAACATGGGCTCATCCGAGGGATAGAAGAGCAAGTAGGAAGCAGCACATTCAGCAGCTAGTGTGTGGTTCCCAACTTGGGCAGGGACAGAAGAGAACAAACACACACGTTTCTGAAAGACTTGAGCAGCAAACGTGGACAGAGCAGCAGCACCCAGTGTCCCTTACACCAAGCACACGTCAACCCCTGCCTAGCAGGGCCTCCACCCAATGATGGGAATGAACCTGGTTGCAGAACAGGCATGCCTTTAATACTTACTGGGAGCTGGTTTAGAAGAAACAGATTAAAAGTAAGTATATTTTGAAACAGAGATGGTCCCACTTCCCTCATGCAACAGACAAGATGAGGAGTCTAGCAGCTTCCTTGAGATAAAAGTTTTACCAGTGGTCTGACAGGGGACATAAGAAACAGCTGGGCCACTGTGGGGAGGAGCAGGGGTATACAAGAGAAGGGCGGAGGGACGTGTGAAAGCGACAGAGTGACAGGATGACCAGTGTCATGACAGGCCATCAGTTGAGTGAGGGAAGGTATGGCTGCCTCAGAAAGAACACCACTGCTAAGGTGAGATGCAAGGGCAGCCTCTAGGCAGGAAGTGGGAGCCTGCTCTGGAGCCATGTACTGAAAAGGAGGGGATAAAACACTCAGCAAACAGTTGGAAAAAAATAGTCCTGAAAAAGCGCGCTGGAGGAAAGACGTGGGAACAGCCTCCCATGACAGAACCTGGGCAATGAGACTGAAGAAGACCACAAGGGACATCTCCCAAGGTGGCCACAGACTTGAATAGAGGTTCTGGGAAGAGTTAGGGGGCAAATAGAAGTAGAGCTCAGGTCAGTGGGCTACTTTTCCCACGACAAGCTGCCCTCCAGCATCAGAGGCAAAGGACAAGTGTAGGGGTGCCACAGCATAACCTGCTGGTTTGTGCTTCTGCTCACCTTGGCTGTAGGCAAACTGCAGTAAATCAAGATGAGAGGGTATGAAATCTTCTGTGGCAGAAATTCTCCCCGGCTTTGTGGCAATTTCCAGGACGCACTGCTGCCTGCACTTCAAAACCTGAATGTAATGGGCTGCAAGACAGGAGTAAGAAAGGCAGTAGCCCACAGTTCTTCCAGACAGGAGTGCTGGGAGATGGGATGTGCCCAGGGTGGGGAGCACAGCCTTCCTACCCAGTCCTCTGTGCCTCTAACACTACCTGCAATGGCTTCGTACAGGCCAGGTTGCATTTTCTCCTCCTCATCCTCATCCTCCCAAGGCCCTTCACACAGGGCACGACAATCTTCCAGTGCTGACAGTGCCTCTGAGAGTGACTCCTCCAGCCTGGCCACGGCCTGCAGGTACTCATCTGCATCATAGTGCTGCACACCAGTCTCATATGCTTCCTGTGAAGGACAGAACCAGCTCCCTTCATCAGTGTGGGTGACACCGAAGGATGCCCCGACACTTCTGAGTCGCTCATAGGGTGGTGCTGACATGCAGGAGCCCACCTGCTCATGCACAGTCAACCACACAGTGACAGCAAACACTAGACTTAAGCCAAATAACTGTCATCAAAGTCTCTCCATCACACTTGCAGTGGTTTGTCCTCACCTTGAATAGAAGGCTGCAGGAAGACCTTCCTGCAGCCTTTCAGACACAAAGGGGTCTGAGCAAGACTTTTGCCAAAGGTCTGTAGTGACAGAACAAGGGGCGATGTTACTAAAACTGAAAAAGCGTTTGGATGGAAGAAAAAATATTTGTTGGATGGGAGATAAGACACTTTTATGATGATTGTAGTGAGACACTGAAGCAGGCTGCCCAGAGATGTCCCATCCCACAAAGTGTTCCAAGGCCAGGTGGGATAGGGCTTGGAGCAACCTGGTCTAGCGGAAGGCATCCCTGCCTTTGGCAGGGGACTTGGATTAGGTGATCATTAAAGGTCCCTTCCAGGCTAAATCTCTCTATCATTCTGTGTATGGGGGCCCTGTCTCAAGCCACGGTCTTTGTGTGGGAATAGATCAGGGTCCCAAACCGGTCCCCAGGGTGGAATAAGAGCTGTTCATACATGGCTCTGCACTGAGCCCTCACCCAGTGTGGAATAGCCTCCAGGTCCTGGAAGCTGTCTGACTTCACCCCTGACATACGCCGGTACTTCTCGATGTCCTCCCGCATTTGGAGGTGCTGGGGATTAGCGACAAAGAAGGTGTGAGCGGCAGACACGGCCTGATCCAGCTTCTTCAGCTGTGGAGAAAAGGCAGCAGTGTCTGTCATGTTCCTGCAGGTCTCTGCTGTTCACACCCACCCCTCACCCCAGCCGCTTCCCGGGTTCACAGAATCACATAATTACAGAGCGGGTCAGATTGGAAGAGACCACAGCGGGTCATCTGCTCCAACCTCCCTGCACAAGCAGGGTCGTCCTACAGCACACGGCACCAGATTGCAGCCAGATGGTTTTGGAATGTCTCCGGTGAGGGAGATTCCACAACTGCTTTGGGCAATCTGTTCCACGGTCACCTGCATAGTGAAGTTCTTCCTAATATTCCACCTAAAGGTGGAACCTCCTGCGCATCAGTTTCTGCCTGTTGCCTCTTGTAGCGGCTGGCACCAGTGAGAAGAGCCTGGCTCCATTCCCTTGGCAACCACCCCCTTGTAGATGCGCATCAATAAGGTTCCCTCTCGCTTGTCTCTCCTCGAGGCTGAGGGAAAGGCGTCCACCCCCTCGGCTGCCCGGAGAGCCGCGCCACGCCGGGCCCCGGCCGTGCACGACAGCACCCCCGGAGGTGGCAGCTCCCTCCCCGCCGGGGCGGCGCCGCGCCCGGGGCC